TTCACACAATGCAATGACCGTATCACTACCTCATCCATGACACTTCACACCTTGCAATGACTGTATCACTGCCACGTCTATGACACTTTACACCTTGCAATGACCGTATCACTACCTCATTCATGACATTTCACACCTTGCAATGACCGTATCACTACCTCATCTGTTACTACTCAATCCAATACATATTTTTTGACCTTGTTGCAGGAATATCCATTTTTCAGTATAAATCATTTTCCTCCTGGCTTTTTGGTTCACCTTGGTGGAATGGTTACTGCTAGATCTGTCAAGTTGCTTGACAGAATACACAACCCTGGTAAGTTAAAAGCTTTCAAACCTTTAATTTCCTACCAGATGTTATGTACATAAAGTTTTGGATTCTGTCCATGCTCCTATTGCCATTTTCAGACATGCTTGGACTGACTTTTTTTAATTCAAAGTTAGTACAAAGTTGGTATGCACACCACTGACATTACTGATGCATGTCAGTGGTGGTTATGTTAGTGTTGTTTTTTTTTGTTTGTTTTTTTGATAAATTTTGTTGAAGGTATGTACAAAGACAATAAAAAAGGCAAACATTGACTTGTTATTTTTTTGGTTTCAAAAACCTTTGACAGAATGATGGCTATTTTGTCTCCAAAAAAACACTCTTAAAAAATGTCATAAACCATTTCTCAGGTATGCCATAGCCAATTTCTATCAAGCTTGGTAACATGATAGGTTACTTGTCAACTTTCAGCAATGTTGGTTTTATTTATTGTGTCCAAATCATTTTTTGCTTCTGTCTGTGCTTTGTGTTGGAACATTGTCTATCTGTCCATCCATCCTTCTGTTTGTTTGTTTGTTTGTTGGCTGTCCGTCTGTCCATCCATCCGCCCGTCTGTCCGTATGTATGTATGTGTTTCTTTGTCAAATATTGTTCCATTTATATCTCAAAAACAACTGACTGGATTGAAATACCGTAAAAGTCCTAATATAAACCACTGTTTATATTACAATGTATCAATTTAAAAATTGAGGTCAAAAGCTCAAATTCAGGGTGTGGTTCATAATACTTACATATTGGAATCACTAAATGGGTGTGGTCATTTTTTTCCACAGCACATGCTCAAAACAAACATTCACTATGTTCAATTACCCACCATAAACTCCGGTCAGTCAAAATGACTATTTTGAACTGTAGACATTAATCAGCGATTCTGCCAATGAC